TAACATGAATCTTTTACCATTCCTTGTGTTGGTCAAACAGTCTCTTTTAAGTTGTTATTTGAGATAAGAGCTGGATGGATCTATGCTTCTCTGAATTCCCGTTGTCAGTTTGACAGTTTTATTGGTCCTGGAGAGGGGATGTGTTTCTGTTTCGTGTTTGTGTTATTTGGTTCTTAGGGAGGGAGTGAGTGAGTATGATATGTGTAAGCGTGTGTATTGCTGTGGGTGTGTGTTATCATTTGGCTCATTAGGGAGTGAGTGAGTATGATGTGTGTAAGTGTGAGGCCTCAACACCTCCGTAAACATGTCTGTCTTGTGTGGGTGAGAAATGTGGGTAGGTTTTGATTTGTAGGGTTATATATATTAATACTATCTATATTGTTAAATTTATGGTTTAGCCCGGCTGGATATTGTGTTTTTAGACGTTGTATCCGCTATATATATATATAAATAAAATGAGAGTGAGAGATAGATAATCAGACAATAAAAAGTGAAACCAAGACTAAGGATGTACAATAATTTGAAAATTAAAACCTTGAAAAATAAAAGTCTATGGCCACACCACACTGAAAAACCAGTTTCTGTATGATCACCGAAGTTAAGCAACTTTGAGCCTGGTCACTTACCTAGTGCTGTCACCTTTGATACATGGTAATGGCTTGGAATTGTTAAATGGAAGTTCCAATTCCTTCGAGGTTGTTACATTTACTTAAATGCAAATACTCTCAGGAAAGGTATGAATCCACATCCCCCCCAACCACAGCTATGGATTACTTAGTAAGACTTGTATCACTAAACCAGTATTATGGGGGGGGGGGACTTCTTACAATTTAAGCTTGATAAGCAGTAAAAAAAAAAAAAAAAAAAAAAAAAACAAACAACAACACACACACTAATATCACTCAATCGAAAAACAAGCCTTCAAAGAATAAACAAAGCTGGTATGAGTGTGTGAAGAAACAGTACGAGTTTGATAAGAGTTATTTCCCTTGGATATGATTCAATTTTAAATTAGTTCTTGAACAAACTTTTTTCAAGAGCAAGAGGTTGATCTGTCTATATTTCCGAGATGAGGTATTGTAACTGTTAACATCGTTCAGACTGTTGTCCTCATCTCTGCCATATTCACGATGTTTCGGCTGTTTAACACTCCGGACTTCTTCAGGTGATATAGATTGGAGTTTCAAACTGAACCCTTTATTCAATCTACAGGCAAAAGACATGGCATGTGGAATTAGAAAAATCTACCTCTGTGGACTAAAAAGGGTTCTGTTTGAAATTCCAACATATATCCTCTGAAGAAGGCCAGAGCATAAGCAGCTGAAATGTCTTGAATATGGCAATAAAGATGAGAACAACAGACTGAACGATGTAAATAATATAAACAACAGGTTGATATTTAAAAAAAAGAAATGTGTGAAAGGAAAGCATCCAAGATGAAGAAAGAAAAAACAAAACACTGAAAAGCTTGTGTCTTTCAAACATTTTACTAAAATCTTTAAAAGTTTAAAAACCTAAGAAAATTTTCATCTCATGGAAACAGAACACTGGGAGAGAAATCAGACTGCATTTTTTTTCTTTTTCACATTTTAAAGAATTAAGCAATTTTTTTTTTATCTTGTATTTACTTAATTCTTTCAGTTATAAAAAAAAAATTATAAATAAATAAAAACAACCTCCAAGACACAGAACAAAATCTGTGGGAAGGTAAATATTTGTTTCACTGTTTAGAGAGAGAGAGGAAAAAAAAAAGTTATTTAAGTGACATAGCCTTTTTTTTTTTTTTTTCGTTTTTTTCAAACTGTCCAGCCACTGACAAAACACAAGGTAATTAATTACAGATCCCAGTAAAAATGGGAAAAGGGGGATTGATGTCAGATTTAGTAAAAAAAAAAAAAAAAAAAAAAAAAAAAAAAAAGAAAAAGCAGACAGGTCTCTTGAGTCATGTAAGTAGCATTTTATTATTATATTTTAAAGAGGGCTTATTCCATCAGAAAAGCTCACCAGGGATTTAAGATTTGACTAAAACATTGTTTTCTGTTGTTTTTAAAATGTTATTAATTTGATTAAAAACAAGTTTTTAGTTTGTTTTTTTTTTTTTTTTTGTGGGCATGCTAGACTGATGACAATGAGTAAGAGCAATTTTCTTAAATTTAGTTTTCTCTTTGATGGTAATGAGTCTCACCAACCTGGTTCTTGAAAGGAACCTCGGATTTCTCAAACACTTTAGCTCCTTTCAACCTTTAGACCGCTACTTCACCACTTGACAAATACGCACAAGTACAAGAGTGTGTGTGTGTGTGTGTGTGTGTGTGTGTGTGTGTGTGTGTGTGTGTGTGTGTGTGTGTGTGTGTGTGTGTGTGTGTGTGTCTATCAAATTTCAAAGTACAACAATCTTTTGTTAAAAGCCCCCTGTTGTATTAAGATCTGACATTCACAAGGAATGTAGAAGTTTTGAAATAATTTACAGATGCGCCTTTTATGAAATAAAGGTGAGGAGGATAACATTTTCATTTCTTTTCAAGTTAAACTGTAAATTTGTTTGACTGGTGGTGAAAAACAAAACAAAAAGTTTCAAAGGAAATATTAGGTCGGTTCTATTTGTATGGTTTATACTGTGAAAGACATTTCTAAGTTGTGTCTTTTAAACGGGGGGGGGGGTTTAGTTTTACGTGCAAGAGTATTATAATTTCTCCATTGAAAACGGAGCAGAAAAAAGCAGCGATTTTTAACTTGATTGATGAAATTATTCTTTCTCCCAAATTGTAAGCTCTCTTTGTTAAGCCAAAGGTAAAATGCTTGACAATCCATTATGCTTCTGAGAGGCAGCTATCAAAAATACTAAAAAAGAAACAATATCAAGTAATAGAGTAAGGTGTAAAAACTGATCAATAAGAAGATTATATCATATTAATTGTACTTCTTTCTGTTCTTTTTTGGCAGCACTACAGAAAACAAATATAAAAAAAAAATATATACAAATCAATGTTAACATCTAAAATAGATTTTTAACATCTTTAAAAGCCTAATACAGGCTAAACAACAAGAACCGGTTTTCAATTCTGGCTGAGTTTACAGATCAAATTCAGTCACAGAGTGAAGAAAGTTGTATTTTTTGAAGGCGCAGAGCAGGGGGTGGGGGGATTGGTAATCTTATACCTGGAAAATCAGAAACAGCACAATTATTTTTAAATTTTGAATATGTAGTCATTAATTTTCTCCAATATTTACACACATTTTCCATAGACATTTTCAATGCAAGCGAATCTTTCTTTTTATGTCTCTTTTTCTTGAACATCAATTAAATTGAAAAGTCTCTTTAAATAATCTCTGGGTGTTGGGTACAAAATGTTATTACAATTTTTTTTTTTTTTTTAAAAAAAACAAAAAAAAACAGGCATTTTAAAAGCATGTGTTAACATATACAAATATATTAAAACAAAGTGGGAAGAAGGGAAAAGATTTAAAAATAAAAAATAAAAAAATTATTATTCACCATAAAGTAGTAAATTGAAAAATATGACAAAAACAGCTAACTGGTTATCACTCATCAAAGACAAAACATCTATATATATGCTAAATGACTGAAAAAAATTTTAAAAAATAAATAAATAAAAAGATGTGTTTGTGATTTATACTGCTGATTCTTTGATAGTATACAACCCTCTTTTTTTAGTTGTGCACATATTTTTGTCCTCAATTGAGCTTTGAAGAGCGAGGAGCAATAACCAGATAGCCCTTTTTTGCTAAATTTTTTTTTTTTATTTATCACTTTACTGTGAGTAATATTTTTTTTATTTTTTGCTTATCCTTGCTCCCTACCTATGTTTTTTAATATATTTGTAGATATTAATATATACTTTTAAAATGCCCGTTTTTTTTAGAGACGATTTTTTTTTTGTTTATTAAAGCATTTGTACAATATGATATAATCCAAATATTGATAAAAAACCCAGTCATTTAATAGCAATATACATATATTTAAAAAAAAAAGAGAGATAATAATAATAATAATAATAAATACATAAATAAATCAACCAAAATTATGTAGACACACTCACAAGAAAGTCAAAACCATTTTTATATCAGGTTATTTTCGTCTTTATTTGTCTACACATGGTTAAATAATGAGAGATATCAAATGTGAGATGTGCTTAGTGTGTTGTTAGTGAGTGCAGGTCTTTCATTTGTGGGATCATGGCAGTAGTAGCAGCAGCAGACAACAGCAACAAATACCCATAAACATATCTACAAAACCATCTGGATACACAAACAAGAGTAGAATACATGAAGGCTGCTGCTGCTGCTGGTAGTGGTGATGGTGGTGGTGGTGGTATATGGTTGGTCATTAATGACAGTAGCTTCTGTTGTAATAGAAAAGAAAAGTTTCTATTCTATTGACAACTGTTATCAATTGTTAAATAGATATACACAACTATTTGATATAGTTAGATAGAAATATATCTATATATTTACTGAAATAGTTTACAGTTCAATATAAGACAAAGATATTAACAAGGGCAGAATATCTCGGTTTCTTTCATAATTTACAACAGGTAAGGTTTCCTTTTTTTTTTTTTTTAAAAATGTGTTTATATTTTAATAAGTGCATCACTTGTAACAAAAAAAGACAGAAAGGACAGACTAGTTTTTTTTTTTTAATTTGTTTTTAATGTTTTCTTTAAAAAAAATCATTTTTTTTCCCAAGTTGTATGAAAAACACCTGTTAGTTTGCTGGTTACTTATTTGGTATAGGAGACAAAATAAATGCATTTCTAGATTACATCTGTCTTGATTGCTTGATTTTGTTATTTGAAGTTCTGTGTATAAAAACAAGTAAAAAATATTGATAGATGGGAAATATTGCAGTTTTTCAAGTACTAGACTGAACTGACATGACAAAGGGACTCTTTGTACTCATTTAAAATCAGTTTTCAACAAGAACATCCAAGAATCAGAGTTACCCAATTTATAGTGAGCAGGCAAAATGTTACTTAAATTTAATAAACGTCATCAAAAATAAGAACAGAAAAAGTATTGTACATATAAGGAAAGAAATAAGGTAAAAATAAGAGAGAGCAAAGAAATAAGGTAAAAGAGAAAGAAATAAGGTGAGAGAGAGAGGAGAGAAATAAGGTGAGAGCGGGAGAGAGGAGAGAAATAAGGTAAAAATAAGAGAGAGAGGAGAGAAATAAGGTAAAAATAAGAGAGAGAGGAGAGAAATAAGGTAAAAATAAGAGAGAGGAGAGAAATAAGGTAAAAATAAGAGAGAGAGGAGAGAAATAAGGTAAAAATAAGAGAGAGTGAAGAGAAATAAGGTAAAAATAAGAGCGAGGAAAAAAATTAGGTAAAAAACAAACAATAGACAAGTGATTATTCTCCACTTCATAGCAAATGACTCACTAGTTTTAAAGTGAAGAAAAGTGGATATTTCTATGCCACATGAAAATTACAGGCTTGAAACTGACTCTTAGGGAACGAAGGGATTTGTTATTTTCTTTAATAAAAAAATCAGTTTTAGTATGCTTGGTAAACTTGTACCATCTCAATATTTGAGATAAAATTTTAGACTCCTTAGCTTTAAGCCTGCTTCTCTAATACTCTTTAAATACTGCACCCAAAAGATGTTGAAAATCTGAATTGGAATCGTACACATAGAAAATCAGAAACAGCACAATTATTTAGAAAAACTTTTATTTTTTTTTTATTCAAAAACAATGTTTTAAGAATGTATTTTTCTCTCAGTAAATCATGTTTTTTGTGGTGAACTGTAATGTGAACCCAGCTAACATGTGAAAATAATCTTAAACCTTAATATCTTATTAAAAATTGTTAAAAAGAAAAAAAGAAAGTTTCACTTTATTTTTTGTAAAACACAGACTTTAAATAAAAACATTATATTTAAAAGAATGAGCTAAAAATCAACTTTTAACTTTTTTGACTACCAAAATTGTGACAAATCTAGTCATAAAGCATGTGCACATTTTGATATGAAAAATTAATCTCAGACTGGATTTTTATTTACTCTGGATATATGCAAAAATAATATCTATAAAAGGAGAAATATTTTCTAAACTTACGAACATTGGAATACATCTCTCTTTATTCAACTTCCTGAACTATTAACTGCACTGGTGACAAAGCAATTGACAGTAAAAGTCAATAAATGGCAGGGGTGGGGGTCTGTGCAACCTTATGCTACACTTAATATACATTGCATTAAGTGAAGAAAAGTAACAAAAAAAAACAAAAAAAAAAAACAGCATTAGTATGAATGTTGCCCCTTAGGAAGGGTCTAGTGAAACTAATTTGTTTATCTTCAATAATTATGACAAACAGGCATAAAAATAGATCTACTCTCGAGTTTATTAACTATGAACTGTACAAACAACAAAAATAACAGGACATACTTAGTACTGAACAATTATGCTTTAACTAGATAAGGAAAAAGAATCACCAAAAACAGACTTACATGGCTATCATCAATTTTAGCAACCCCCAAAATATGGCTTAAATTTTGAAAAATATGCCTATGTGATATTAACACCATTGTGTGTGTGTGTATTTTATATATATATATATATATATATATATATAATATATATATATATATATATATATATATATATATATATATATATATATATATATATATATATATATATATATATATATATATATATATATATATAATATATATATATAATATATATAATATATATAATATATATATATATATATATATATAATATATATATATATATATATATATATATATATATATATATATATATATAATATATATATATATATATATATATATAATATATATAATATATATATATAATATATATATAATATATATATATATATATATATATATATATATATATATATATATATATATATATATATATATATATATATATATATATATATATATATATATATATGTTCTTGAGGTGTAATGGTTAACAAGCTTATCTCCATTAGAGAACAATTCACCACTGAGTAGGGGGTTCGATTCTCATTGGGTGCCCCATACTTTCGGCCATGTGCCACATCTAAGCTATGCTTGGAAAATCACTATATATCATATTGATTTGTTTTCTATGGCTTATCAACCCTTTGCAGGTTATTTAAAGCCATAAAATATTTTTATATTGCAAGAATTTTTTTTTTTTTTTTTTTTTTGTTTTGGGAGATAATAATGATTTAGTGGTACATGTCTAACTAATTAACCCATAGCTGGGACAAAGAGAGGTGGATTCATACCTTTCCCAACGGTATTTGGACATAAATGAATATAACAAACCCAATGGGAATTGGAACTCAGCTCTCTTATTAAAAATTCCAAGCCAATATCCATTAAACTACTTGCACATCCAAACTTACAGCACCTGGTATTTCCAAGAGGTCACCCCACTAGGTACTGACCAGGCTTTATGTTGTTAACTTTGGTACAGGAACCGGTTATATATATATATATATATATATATATGTAATGCGTGTGTGTGTGTGTGAGGCGCAGTTCAAAATCTGTTAGCCATTGAGTTACACTACTTACACCTAATGCTGCTATCAGAGGCAATAAATCTTATATACATTAAAGTTTTGTAATGCATTACAAAAATGATTCAGTAACCTTAATGTGTAAAGCTTTTTGTACATCTCAAGTAGATTTCATGTCAAATTTTTTTTTTTTATACATTTTTCTTTTGCTCACAAGTGTAAACAGTAGACAAATCTGTGCCCACGGAAGGAAACATCAATGCTTAGTGACATGTGTTCCCTAAAAGTGGACTTCCTTGTGAAACTCGAAGTAGGTGTGTGTGTGTGTGTGTGGGGGGGGGTCAATAAGAACCAATTCACATATTGCCAGGTTGTAATGCCCATACTGTGTATTTATGATGAACATTCCCAGTGCTCTGTGGAGGGGAGGGATTTACTTTTTCTTTCTTTCTTTTATTCACTACCAGGATTTGGTCGAGGCAGGGGTGGGGTAGTGTTAAGTTAATACGACCAAACTCCAGTCAATTGAACCTTTGTAATAAACGAAGTAAAAACAAACAACCATAAGTCCATTTGTGCACTTATTAAAAAAAAAAGAAAAAAAAAAGCTAAACAGGAGTTTTTTGTATTTATCAAAATATTTAAACAGAGGCCATATCAAAGATGAGAGGTTGTGTATTAGGAGGAAAATAATAATAATAATAGTAGTAATAATAAGAATAAAACCCACAACCATCAGCTGCCTCTCTGATACAATGCCAACGGTATGTTGACTGTTGAGGAAGATCAAGCATTTCCATTTTTATACAAAAGCTTAATAAAATTGTACAGGTCAAGTTAAAACAAATAATTATATATGTATAGTGTATGTATGTATGTATGTGTGTGAGAGAGAGAGAGAGAGTTAGAGAGAGATTGACATTTATAACGTAATAACAGGCTATAAATAACAAATTTCAAAAGGAAGAGTCTGAGCAAATTTGCTTCATCCTCAAATATTTGTCAGTTTAGATTTGTAAAACAATTTCACCAACATGTCAGACTTTCCCCAGAGCTAAACCATCAAATACACATACTATCCAATACGTAATCAAATCAAGAGGCTGATGAAGAAGAATGTCAACAGAACAAATCAACAGCTTTATTACAACCACACCTGACAAAGAACGGACATAACACAGCAGAAGTTGACATCAAGAGACTAAAAAAGATAATTTTTTTTTTCTCACCAGACAATCTAGTATGTGGATAAAGGATCTTTTCTGGCAAAATCTATTAACTGAATTTAGTGCCAAACTATTGCTGCACTCAATCAAACAAGGATCTATGATGCAATTGATCCAGACCAAGCATCTCAACTTCAGTCACTTTCTCACCAACGTGACGTGGCTTCCCTCTGTCTTTTCTATAAATATTTTCATGGCAACTGCTCTGACAAGCTTTTTTTTCCTCTGGTGCCTCGACGACATGAATTTAAGCATGCTACTAGATTGGCATCTTGGTTCCACCCGTTTACTGTTGAAATAGTTAAATGCAATCGTCACATCTACTCCAACAGTTTCTTTTCTCACACTTCCATCAACTTGCTTCCCTGATAACTACAAAGCAACATCAATTGCCATCTTCTGCCTTCTTGAATCCCGTTCATCTTTTGTCCTTTCCTCAATCCTCTTTATTCTCAGATTTCTCATTCTCTTTCACTCCCTGTAACCCCCTGCGTACTAGTGGCATTCCCGCCTTGCTTGAGGTGAAATGATAAAAAAAAAAAAAGAGATGAATATTGTGTACATATTTGCAAGTTTTTTCTTTTTTACATCACAAAACAGGGACGAGAGACACTTCAATCAATGTGAACATAATTGAGTTACTGAGATAAGAACAGGATTAACATAAAAAAGTCCTTTTCAAATAATAAAAAAAAATATATATATATATATATATATATATATATATTTTTCTTGCAAAAATTACTCTTAGTATTCTTGTCTTAATGGTGCACTCTTCTACTTGGAAATATTTTACAAGCTTTTTGTTTTGTGTTGAATATTGAGTATTGTAGGAGCTTTAAAAGTATTTTCAATGTATTTCTCCTTTCCGTTTAAATATTGCAGGCTACAAATTACAAGTGCTCTTGAATAGAATCTGATGATTATTCCAGTTTTTATTTTGTTGTTAAAGGGAATAATCATTGGATTCTATTTAAGAGCACACAGAATTTGTACCCCTCAATATTTGCACAAAGAGGAGAAATACATTACAAATACTTCTAAAGCTCCTGCCAATTATTTTATGTTCAATGCAAAACAAAATGCTTGTAAAATATTTCCAAATGGAAGTGAGGACCATTCTGACAAATCCCAAAAACCAAAAGACATTATTCTCAAATCAAATGCTAAATGTTTCTAAAAGAAATAGCAAAAGATAATTGCTTCTAATATCCAACAGAATCACATTCAACGATCTCTATTACATTATCATATAATAAATTAATATACAGAAAAATTTACAATCCACATAAACTCAATCTTATTCTCACGAGAGAGGAAGAATGATTAAAAACAAAAAAAAAAAAAACAAAAGTCACAATGAGATTTTCAATGTGTGCGCGATAATACCTTTTACCTCAACAGTGTTGGGCAAGCAGGTGAGTGAGTGTGGTGTAGGTTCAGCATTACTGAGCAGTCAAAAGAGCCCTGCCGTCCAGAAACGGAGCCTCATAACCTTATAGAAATGTCCCTGCCAGTGCACGGAAATTATAACCCTTTTCTCATCTGCAGAACATTTATTTCTCTGAAAGAAACTGAACTTGCAAATGGAAAAGCTTGACATGATGGTGAAATGGTAGTTTTTGTGTAAATAAGGCTTTGGAAGATTTTAAGTCTTTCTCATTGAACAGCTGATCCAAATGGCGCCACGCCTAACACAATGGTGGCAAAAGTCTTTGAAAAGAATCAGCTAGGAATGAAAGAAAAAAAAATTAAAATGAAACAATAAGAATGTGTTTCAGTAGAAGTCTTTTAGTCCCAAATAATCAATGAGTCAGCAGAGAGCGTCTTTAAGTGCCGCCTGCATGTATTGTTTTTGGTTATTTTTGTATTCAGAAAAAACTAAAAAGTTTGAATAACAAAACGTTTTTTGGGTTTTTTTTTTTTTCCAGTTCATTTTTTTTTTTGCTTTTGTCCATCTTCCACTTGTTTCTCACAGCAAACAATTGCATTTGTGGGAACAGATATGGATAAAAATAATGTCTGTAGAGACTGATGAAAAATAGTAAGAGAAAAATGGCAATAATTAAAAAAAAAAAAAAAAAAAAAAAATGTTGATGATCTTGCATCACTGCACACAGGATTGCTATTACTAAAAAAGATGTTGCAACTTTTGATGTAGTGTGCTGTAGCAGAGCCAATAAAGGCTTTGTTCACCGAACTGGTTTGTGATGCTGGTGGAATTTCTGGTGAGAGTGGGTGGTGGTAGTGGTGGTGGTGATAGTAGTAGTGCGGGTTGTGGTGGAGGTGGTAGTAGAGGTGAAGACATGGAAGAAGAGATCCAACAGCCAGTTGAAAAAAAAAAATGCTGCTCATGCTGCCGTTGCAGTGACTGCTGCTGCAGCCGCTAACACTGTTGCTTGAACATGCATTCACATAGTGGCCTACTGATTGATGGAATCAACTTTCGGTGCTGAAGCAATCAGGGAAATAAATTAGCCGTTCCTGGCAGAACAAAGGTGGCAAAAGACGTGATTGTAGGAGAGTTGGTTGAGCAGCAACAGCCCAGGACCTCAGTCTATACATGCATTCAGACAATTTAAGATGGATGGATGGAGAAATAAAGCACTTTTTATGCTTATCAGTCCAAGATGTGAAATATAAGTTCCAAAACAATCGGTCCATCCTGACTGTGAGAAGCAGCATTATGGATGACAGGTATCAACTCGTTATCCAAGTCATTCATATAAAAATCTGGCAGCTTAATTCCATTCGATCCAATTTCATAACCAACCTGAAATGAAGAGATCTTAATTTAAATCTAAAACAAGGAATCTATTCTTCAAATAAATTAACCACAAAATTTACCAATAAAGATTTCAGAGCTAATAACATAGCCCTTTATCTACTACTGGAAATGTATTATGTCATTAGGAAACTTACATTGCCTACTGTTGCCATTTTATATATATATATATATATATATATATATATAAAATATATATTTGGGCAGCAAACTTTCTTTTTTAAACATGTTTATGGAATATGACAGGCAAGGACAATTGATTTCTTTTATTTAGTTTTGCCAGCATTCTGGCATTTTACCCATTTGGTCGGAGAGTAAGGAATGCAAAAAATTGTCTGTATTGTTAAAGCAGGGGTCGACAACTCATTCGAAAATCATGGACCGGATCATGTTATAATGATTATTTTTATAATGACTTAAGGCCATTAATGAAAAAATTATGAAAATTACATATGCTGACCCTGTCAACCTAAATATTTAAAAAATTCTTAATGAAAATAAGCATTGAGAAATCAGAAAAACAAAAGAAAATCTAAAATTAAAAACACCTAACAAAAATTACTTTTCCTCAAAGGAACGTCAAAATACTTCAAAGTGAAAAAAATCAACCAAAGTGAAATGGATGAAATTATGATGTGTAGGTTTGAAACTGTTATTGAAAAAATTGTTCCTGCTACAAACCACACACACACACACACACATGAAAACAAAAAATATATCACATATACCCATATTTACGAGTCACAAATAGTTTGCAAACATACACTTTTATGTACGTGCACATGCGGTATCATCCACACATGAGGCATGTATGTATAATGCGCGTTTGTTTAACTGTCTTTAGATTTCTGCTACCTTGCATGTCAGTCCCTCCCTGGCCTCCTTCATTTTATCGTTCCTTTCACTTCTGTTATCTTTTAATGTAGCCAAGGGTCATAAAAAATATGAAAGCCTCGTCTCATGTTAAAAATAGTCATTGGTAATCAGGCTCGCGGGCCGGTCAAAATGCCTTCGCGGGCCGGATCTGCAGGTTGACAACCCTCGGTCTAAAGTGCATTCAGCCACTTCTTTAGCCATTTTCAAGGGGGGTTTGTCTTGGGCTGTTCTTAATTTCTCTTCATGTTTAGTTGTTTAAGATCAACACGCAAAGTTTGGGATGGACGCCTCCTAATAATATTCAAAACAGCTCAAAAACACAGCTTACTCCCTTATTAACACAAAATGGAAAAATGTAAGAATGCTTCAAAAACTAAATATAAAATTATTTAAGTTTTCCTTGTCTGTTGTAATCAATGAAATATATATATATATATAATTTGCACATATAGTGCTGTTGTTAATAAAACAGTGTTCGATGTAATAATAAAAAAATGCAATAAAACTAAGACATTATTTAATTAGAGAAGCTTTTAATTGTTTTATAAATAAAATATATTAAGGACACTATTGTCTTAATAAAAATCGTTTTGATGAATAATGAATTTTTACAAGAATAGTTTTCATTTTTTTAAATTTAGAATAATTTATTAAGTTTTAATTCTTTTTAAAATTCTGTATTGATTTCATACACTGATCTTTCTGCTATGTATTTAAAAGATTCTTGATAGAATCACTTCCTCGAGTGACTGAATGAGCCTACTATTTTTACAGTATCTTTATTTAGCAATGGACTCATATATATATATAAGTTCCTTATGAGGTCTGGCGTGAACTTGAGACCTAATAGATGTTCAAAGCAAAGAGCCTCATTGAGAGTGCAAATGTTCATTGTGCCTGTCTAGAAAAGATGTATTAAACTTAAAATTGGAGAAAGGTACAAGTACATTTTTACCCTCATCTTTAATACTGTAATTTCTTGAAAATAATGTGCATTTTTTTTTTTACTGTAAGTTACAGGTGATAGTAGGAGTGCATATTATAAATAGGTTTAAACAAAAATATTGTTTCCATTATTGATTTATAATAATAAATACATACTTGTTATTCTAAAATATGAAAAATATTATTCCAATTTTCATTTTAAATTCAACAATCATAATCATAACATTTTTTTGTCAATAAATTTATGTTTATCAGTAACAGAATTTTATATTTGGCGAAAAAAAAATCCATAAAAAATCCAATTTTGAAGAAAAGAGGATATCAATTTAACAATTTATTGAAATTTTAATTTTCATCATCATCACCACTTTCTATTATAGAATCAATATCTAAATTGTCATTAAACAAATTATCATTCACAATATTATCTTTGTCCTATTCAAAATTATCTTCAGCCTCTTCATTCTCTTGCCAAAGGATGTTATCTTCAGAGCCATCTATGCCTGTTGTGAGACAACATTTCTTGAAACCTTTCTTTATAACATTCTCACTGACAGATTTCCATTTTGGCAGTAAAATAAAATGTTATATTTATCAGGAAAATTGCATGGTAATTTTCAACATTATTTTAGCTGTTTAGTTCCAATTTTATTCTAAATGTTAAAGTTGACAAAATGTCTTCATAATTATTTTTTTTTTTTTTGACAAAATTTATAGATGCGTATTATACATAGGGATAGATGTATTTCTAATTTTTGGATCATTTGTTGAAGTGCGTATTATTTTTGAGAAATTACAGTATATCTTATTTTTTCAGCTGGTTTAGTATATACATGAAAATGCAAATCCAACAAGAGTACGCAACTTTCAGTTTGATAGAAGGTTAGATGCAAAATCCTTGGAGCCCATGAAAAAAAAAAAAACCCACTTACTCTTTCTGATTCAATGTTTACTCGTAGACCTAGTTTCATAACAGCCGATTCCTTCAATCTGTCAAGGTGAGGAGTGAGAGCAATGCAGCAGGCTTGAGCAAGTGTTTCAGCCAAACGACTCAAATCCACTGGCTCAAGACGGGACGAATTTGAATCTTCATTTTGGATCAAGAATACTTCAGTCCACCGTATAGCTCGACTTTCTCCAATATAATCTGGGCTGTTGTGAATATGAATGCTCTCCACCCCATCTAACGACATTTTGTCAATTGGGCTTCGAACTCTGAAAAGAAAAAAAAAAAAATTTGTTTTTCATTTCAAACTGACATCAGTATTTGTTAACAATGAAAGGTATTTCACTTGGGAATCCAAAAGGACTGGCAATGATTTCCTTACTCAATTGGGATAACTGAAAAACTGGGGTTCAAAATCATATCTGATGTTTTATTGAAGTAATTGAAAACCTTTTTAAAAATAATAGAATTAAGATTGTCAATATTGTTTGAAGTTTTATTGAACATGCATTTGACTTGTTAAACCAATGTTAGTATAATTTTTGGCATTCTGAATTCAAGGAGTGACAATGAGACCATTTGAAGTTTCAAGAAATTAATTGATTCCAAGCCTAACTGAAAACCCGTAAATATTGCTTTGTGTATGTAAGTGTATATTAATTCTAGTTTGTCTATGTGGGATTCAGATGATGATCATGATGTGTGTGTGTGTGTATATCTAGTAGACATTATGCTTGTTGGTTTTTCACATGTTGATTTTGGAACGTTTTTACATACATATTGTTTGTTTTAGATAGACATATGTTAGAATCTTTAAAAATGGATTCAATAAAGGTTGGTGATGTAATATAGTATTTTTGATGTGTGTTTATAGTTGGTAATATATTTATTATTAATCCCTAAAAGTACTTTCTATGTGAAGAATTATGTTCTTTTTAATTAGGGTGGCATTTGTAAAATCAAACTTAGATATGAATATCATTTGAAATTTCATTATACAGAGGGAGCCATTTATTATAAACCTGGATATATTTTTTGGTATATCACATTTGAAAATTTCTAGTCAATAGGTGACTATTCGTTTCAATGGTGCTTTCAAATACGTACTCTTACAGGAATAAACATATTTGCCAATATTTGCAAAGCTTGATGGTTATAAACTATGGTTTTTCTTAGAAAGCTATGAGTGACAAAGAAATAAAATTTCCTTCATTAAAGTCCTCTAGTTAGAAAAAAGAATTCTTATGATCGCGGGATATAAAAATTAATGAAATAATCAGGTTCAAAACATATGCACATATCTTCATTATTACTTTGTTTTTTTAATTATCAAATGGTAACAATTACAATTAATACCAAATAAGCTAAAAAATAAGTCATTTTAATAATTTACCCAAAAGTTTTTTTATAATCAAGGAATAAAAGAAGTACATACCCGACATTGACACTTTTATCATCATCCACCCAGTGTACAAGGACAATTTCCTCGGGTTTACTAGTGGAAATGCTACCACAACCAATGGTATATGTGCTCATATCTTTCATAGCTTGCTTAAGTGCAGCCATAGAGTCAGGGGTAATTTGTACCATGAGACCATCTTCTACTATTGATGACTTGGCTGTCAAACCAGAGCTAGTCTTTAAAGCTCCATTGAATACCACAAAACTAGCCCCCGTCACTAAAAATAAAGGTGTGAAGAAAAAAAATAGATAAAAAAAAGGAGAGAGATAATTTAAGAAAAAAAATGCATGCGTGTTTATAAAAGAAAGCTTGATGTAAGTTTTTCCATGATGGGCAAACAATTGGATGCCAGTTCTTAAGTACTGTACCGTCTTTGAGCCGATAGCTTTGATTGACTATTTATTTTCCTTTTTTTTCCACTATCATGACTGCTTTTATTAGAACTTACCTGCATTTCATTTTTTTTCGCATAAATTATCTGCTTAAAAAATGGAGTTACCAGCTGGCATGCAATATAAACTAGCTTCAATTAAAAATAATATCCAGAGAGGTTTGGGATTTTTTTTTTTTTTCATTACAAACACATCTGGGGTAAAGAAGAAATGCTATCTTGCTCCACTTTTGTTGTAGAAATATCTTCTATTTCAAAAGTGTAAAAATCGCTAATCGTCTAAAACTTATTAAGTTGGCCACAAATAACCATATCATCTGTAGCAATTTCTTTTAACCAATAATAACTAAAAAAAAAAGATAAAATCATGAAATTAACTTTCTATTCTACAAAATGTGAAAGAAATATCATTTGCATAAATAGTAGAAGAGAATGGAAATATTATGTAACAATAATTCTATCTTCCACATGGGATTTACAAAGTCACATTTAGCTATTGTTATAAACTAGTAGTCAGAGAAAAGAAAAAAAAAGAATGCTAAATTATTTGAAATGTTGTAAAAACAGATTAAAATAACAAACTTTCACCTTTAGGAAAATTAAAGAAATGATTTTCAAAACATAAATCAAGTTAAATTTGAAGAATTTCAGAAAAGATTTTGATAGACAAGAGAGAATTATTTACATGCTTTACAAAAAAGATTAAAGAAAAGACAGAAGTTGGTAGATTTTTTTTTAATAGGAAAAGAAAGTGTTGTTGGTTAAGGATTAACTTGAGAAAGCCTATGGATATTCACTTCAAAGCAAAAGGATAATAGGCCTTGTCTAGATGTCCAGATCAAATACTAGACTGAATTTAGAAATGAAAAAGTAGTTAAATAACTATTTTAGATTTCAGCAAGACTAATAATTAGGAAACCTTGTGCCAAACTTGGCTTATTTTTAAAAATATAAGTGAATAAGTGAATTATAATGATTTAATATTATCAGAATGACTTTGTCCCTAATGTATTTTATAATCCTTGAAACATAATAAAAAGAATCTCATTTCATTTTTTACCCACATTTTCCATAAAATAATTCTAATTCGCACACATTCTTCTTACTCTACATCCCAAAATGTTCAAGTGAGTTGCATGCTAAAAACAAACAAACAAAAGAAAAAATAAATAAATAAAATCTCTAGTTCTATTCGGTGATGGAAGAGGAGGAATGGTCCTAATTGTAAATATTAAGTCCTTTCAGATAAGTAAGGTCAGTAGAAAATGATTGAAGTGTAGCTTACAGACCTAAAAGTGGTCTCCAACTTACATTTCAGCTGTGACAACTCATCATACCCTAGAAGCTGTGCACGAGCACAGGTGTCTCCTTCTTCCATATGACTCTCAACAGAATATGTACCTAAAAATGATAATCAAAAGGCTGTGGGATGCAGAGTCGAAGGAAATCACAAATTTTTTTAGCTGTTTTATGTACATTACATATTATTTTCGACAGTAAATTACAGTGGCCTTTAAATTTTAAGCCAACAGTAGGAATTGATGTTAAATTATATTCGGATGACCTATAGCAATTATAATGTTTAAAACTTTCAATTCATGCTTTTATTGTATTTTTATCTGTCACCTAGGAAAACAGACAGGTCAAATGAACAGGTAGAATGCGATTTTCAATGCAAAAGGTAAAATTTGTGGCCAAATCGGAAAAACCTAACATTAATATACCTGAAACGTACCCATTGGAAATGAATCCTGAAAAATGAGAAATGCAATTCTGCATAAAGCCATGAAGAAAAACAGAAAAAAAGAATCATTATTGAAAAGAGCAAAAAATAAGAAGACTATATTAACAATAAGTAGCTTTTTTGTTAACCTGTAGAAAAGCTAAAAGACTGAAGCAAAACCATAGCAAATAGAAATGCTGTAAGCAAATTTCAACTTGAGCATATGATGACCAAATATTCATTGGAATATATATATATATATATATATATATATATATATATATATATATAAGAAAATAGTCTTAAGAAGTAGCATATTTATCGGATAAAGTGCCAATATCATAGAGCGTGTGAAAATATAAGAATGAACATAATCGATGAACTTAGAGGTGACAGTCTGTTTCATGCTAGATGTACTTGTGGCCTGACGATTGCATCTAGCATGAATCAGACTGTCGCCTCTAAGTGTTGACTTTATGTTCACTTTTATATTTATTTTTTATATATATATATATATATATATATATATATATATATATATATATATATATATGTGTGTGTGTGTGGTCAGTGTATATAAATATAAATAAATATATATGTATAATTATTTATATATTATATATATCTTATTAGAAAGTGCTCAATATCAGAGATAGAGCTAACGTATTTGTTGGATAGATGTGAGTTTGTTTACCCCTCTTGAAACTCATAACTTTAGCTTATCGTCAGACAAACTGATGATCATGTAAATCCGTGAAACCCAGGGTCACAAACTCACATTTATCCAATCAAATATATATATATATATATATATATATATATATATGGTATAACAGTAAAATTGTCCAAATCACGTGGCAGCACAATTATCCATCCCACAAAATGTTTAATATCTAAGAAAACACTAAACTAATTGAGTTTTTTTTTTGCTAGGTTTTCAGATAAGACATTTAGCCATTTTGACATCATTTGTTGTAAGTATCACTGAAAAAGCCTTTGAATTATTCAGCTAAAAAGAGAGCAGGTTAAAATTGTTTTTGTGTCAGATCCACTGTCTTTCCAACTGAGCAATGGTGAGAGGAAAAAATCATTCAGGCCCTCAGTAATGGTACCAACATTCATACTCTGGCTTCCATTTTCAAAGTCCATTCAAGAACCACCAAGAGAATGGTGAATGAGTTTTAAAAAGAAGGAACAGTAGAGAGGAAAACTGGATCAGGAGGTCACAACAGGAAGAGGGATCATCATTTCAACTTACAGCTAAAGAGATCAATTAGAAAAGATACAACTCAATACATAAGATGTTTGACACGTGAGAGAGGAGTTTCACATATGACAGTCCAAAGAGCAGTGAAAAAAGACTTAAAAATGAAATTGTACATGAAATCTGTGAGGTACCGTGTTACTCCAGGTCAGAAAGTTAGGTTATAAAGGGCAAAGATCATCTTGAATAAGTTGGAAAATGATCCTAGAATAATTTATATATATTTGAACTTTATTTCAATGCTTTATGAGCTTCCAATCCTTAGATATAATTAATTAATGATGAATGTCATTTTCATTTGTGATCGATTTCATCATGATTCTTCTGTTAAGCTTGGTGAGTAATTATACATTCTTATTGCTCAAAGTAGAGTCCAATAAAAATGTCAGAGAATTCCAGTAAGATATCTTTAATCATTTTTAAGATACAGCGGTTTTAGAGTTGGACAATTTTGCTGTTACACGATCTGAACAATTCTGCTGTTACACAAAAAAAAAAGTGTGGATGGTCCTGCACAAAACCTTCACCACTATAATCGAATCTCATGTGCCGGTGTCGGGCTGTCAGTTTCCTGGAAACTGATCTGCTTGACCCTCATACGTCGAACCCGACAGGAGAATCGATTTATTTATATATATATATATATATATATATATATATATATATATAGTACAGGTTATAGATTCATTGGTATGTAATCTAGGTTGGTCCTAGTAATATCAAATATTAAAACTGATCCACACAGAGAGCTCAATGTGTTTATTATAACAGAGCATATATTTTACACAGCAAAAAATCCAAAATTTGTGGGAGAATTAAAACAGAATTTATACCCAAAGGCACTCCTTTACAAATTCTAAAATAAAATTCCAAACAGCCCTCTCAAAGAAATTTTAGGAATTGAAGGGAAAGGGTCTAAACCC